ACTAACACTTAAAGATATTTATTTTGTGTGTGGAAAAATAATGCAAGCTCATATGCCATGCGCTGGGTAGGAGTAGTTATATTTGGAAAAAAACAAAATAATACAAGCCCCTAGCTTAGACAATGGAGTTCAAAAATAGTTGCCATGGTCAAAAAAGTATCAAGCAAAAGGCTAGGATACCATTTGATTATAAAATGACGAAAACGATAATTTAGAATTAGCTAACTCTAAGGAAATCCTGGCACGAAATACCACCACCACATTGTTACTATTAGAACACCTTTCTGTAAAAATAAAAAGGATAGATATATATGCTTTTTATTTGAGATTAAAACGATGCTAACGGGATAAGATTGCAGACCATAACCAGGTCGGAAATTGAGAAAACGACTAAGGCAGACAAGGTGAGGGAAGAAAACAGACCATTGATAAAGCGAGGCGAAATTGGATGTGCAGCCAAAATCCACCGATGATAATCAAGCGATAGACACAAATATAGCACATGATTAACTCTAGGGCTAGAATGATAGCAAATATAGGAAATGATAAATTAAATAATATCCTTCCCTTAGATAATGATGCTAACGAAGTGAATGCGAAATTTGATCTGCAGGATAAGGATTTAACTTAGGGGATTGCAAAAAAAAACAAAAAACAAAACTGAAATCATGTTGGTGAAGACCAAAGATAAAATAAGCAATCCACAAAAGAAAAAGCACAGCATTGGCGTTAGATGCAAGAGAAATGGTCTGGAAAAAGCAAGAGGGAAAATTAAGTGATCATTTCTGGAATAACTGCCGAGTAAAAGCTTGATAATCGTAGGCCTCATTAATCTGTTGGCCGGATTTGCTGCATACTGGAGGCATAGAGTCAGAACAAAAATCGGCTTGCTCTTTGGAAAGATTCTGTGGTTGGAAGAGGAAAAAGTTTAATAATAACTAACTGAAGATTATTTTGGGGGTAAAAGCGAGGTTAAAAGTATAGGTCGTTAAGCTCATAAAATAATTAATAACATTTCTTACCGAGTAAAGTTCCTCTTTCGTGATATAGTCTCTTCCATCTTTGGTAAGAGCCCTAAATGCCTCTTCCACTTCATCTCGGGATTGGACGTTCTCTGTCTCCCTGCTGATCATAAATGCCATAAACTCTTGTAGAGTTACGTAACCATCGCGATTAGGATCCACTACGGAAAGAATGCTTTCGAACTCAGGATCAACCTGATTTTCCTCGACTAACTTCAAATCGTGGCCTAATGCTCGCAAGCATGACTTGAATTCTCGATGATCAAGGCGACCAGACTTGTCCTTGTCAAAGTGTTTGAACATCATTGAGAATTCACGGAGAGCTTCTTCACTCACACCACTAACGTTGCGGGCCTGAATTTGTTGTTCAAGGTTGTGCTGCATACGCATAGCCAGCTGATCTAGCTGGTCCCAGGCCTGACTTAGCCCGACCTGTTATTTTTTTTGCATAAATAAGAGAAAAAAGTTAGCTTCAGATATTGATAATCAATAGGGAGAGATAAGATAAGAATAGTCC